CTCCTGGCTGTGTCCTCACAGGTGCCCGCAGCCCCTCGCACCAGCCCCCAGCAAACCACACAGGCCTCAGGGAGCCCGACTCTCTCGGCAGGGGAGCTCGTGGGGTCCCCATCCGCGTCTGTGAGGACACTTTGTGACTGGACATGGTGGGCACCTGCGCTTTGTCCACACAGGCCGCTGGGCACCGTTTCCCCTCAGCGCCTGAACCCTCTAGAAAGAGCCGGAACCCCGTGCGCTGCCATCCTGGCCCCAGATGCCAGTTCCCTGCGGGCGCTGCGACTGCCGTGTGGAATGTCCCCTTTCACAGGAGTCGGGGCTTTCCAGCGGTTCACACCCTGTCACCCAGAGAGAAAGGGCGTTTTGACCCAGCCTCTCGGGGCTGCGTGTCTGAGTTGCTGGCCGGTGGGTGGCTCTCGGACCCGCGACTAACGCGCTGCACACGTGGCCTCTGGCCTTCTCCCGGCTCTCCCGACAGCCCCAGTACTGCCGTCATCATCCCTAAGAGAGACAGGAGCCCGCAGGTCCCGTGCCACCAGCCGCGGGAATGCTGTAAAATGGGCATTTCAGCCCGGGCAGGAGGTGGCACTCGCAGGCACGTGGCGCCGTGTTTAGCCTCTGCTTGTCGGGGGTCACACCCAGGGACATCAGGACTTGCTTGGGGCTCCCCAGACTCATCCCAGGAGAGCGGCTGAGGGAGGCCCAGGCAGTCAGTCCTGGCTGTCTCAGACCTGGGGGGAGGGACGCAGGCCAACCCTTCCCAGAGGGCAGGGGTTCGAGTGGATAGAGGCAGCCAGTGGACACAGGAGCACTGAGGGCCATCACGTTTGCTGGCCGCACCGAGGCGACAGTGCATACAGAGGGGAGCAGGTGGGGAGGACCCCTCGTGGCAAGGCCGGCAGTGCACCGCAGCAGTGGGGGGGGGGGTGATGAGGACGCCCCCAGGGTGCGAGGGAGAGGACCTCTGCCCTCTACTGAGAAAGGGGTGTGCCCGTGCTCAGAGGGCCTGTTCTAGAACTTTCCTCTGCCTCTGCTGGGAAGAAATCGCCCCACTGCCCAGGGACAGACAGGCTTGGGCCCCAGGGAGAAGAAATGCAAGAAATCGTGGACAAGGAGCCCCTGCCCAACTCGAGTGGGCATCAGCCTCAAGAGCACCCAGGGAAGGAGTGAGGGTGACCCGGGGGGCAGATCAACTGTCAGCTGACCTTGGGGGGGGGGCGATGTCTCAGACCCCACCCAGGCCCCGTGTCTCAGACCCCCACCCGGCCCAAGTCTCAGACCCCCACCTGGGCCCGTGTCTCAGACCCCCGCCCAGTCCCGTGTCTCTGAGCCTGCGCCCTCTTGGTGGGGCTTGCGCCTGGGGCCGGGCACAGAGGCTGCCCCAGGGGGGATCGCACCAGTTCGTTGGGTTTTATTGTGTCCCCCAAGAGGCCAGTGACGGTCTCCCCGGGGCAGCGCCCTGCAGTCCGGCCCTCCTTCCCATCCCCGGCCCGGCAGGCGTGCGGCCAATGCCTGACCCTGTGGTGCTGACCGTGGCCTCACGTGTTTCAGCTGCTAATTGAACTTGCTAGGCCTGTCGGGGCTGGGCTGCAGGTGGCCGGCCGCGCCCGCACTGCACATTCCTGCCCGGGCCGCTGTCCCGCCCCTGCCCTGGCCGCCAGCCCACGGGGCCGCAGCCGCCCAGCCGGGGGACCCCGAGCTCCGGGTCCCTGCACAGCCACCAGCCTCGCCCTGGGGTCCTGGAGGGACCATTTTCTTAAGAGATAAAAAGCAGGGACTAGAGAGAGAGCACAGCGGGTAGGGCGTTTGCTTTGCACGCGGCTGACCTGGGTTCGATTCCCAGCATCCCATAGGGTCCCCTGAGCACCGCCAGGAGTAACTCCTGAGTGCAGAGCCAGGAGGAACCCCTGGGCATTGCCAGGTGTGACCCAAAAAGCAAAAAATAAAAAAGAGAAAAAGCAGAAAAGCAGATAAGTCACCCGTGTCATGCTGGAGCCAAACGAAAAGGCTGGAATATGTTGTCCGAGCCAGCCTGGGAGGGCGTGGGGCTGCCCTGGGTGTCCCAGGCAGGAGCAGGAGGAGGAAGAGAGGAGCCGGAAGCAGAAGGACTTGGGAGGCGGACATGACTCCTGTTCCCTCTTCGCTGGACTTGGAGTTTGGGAAAGGTGCCGGTGCGCTGGGAGGCCGGAATGTGAGTGGGGCACGCGGACGCTAAGCCTTCGTCCTGGGACATGGGGACACCAAGGACACTGCCCGGCTGGGCGGGAGGGGGCCCGGGGGTCCCATCCAGCCACGTCCTTGCAGTCCTCATGTGATGAGGCGCCTGGGCCGGCAGGTGTGTCTCTCTCTGAGGACCCCAGGCTGTCCGCTCGCCTTCCCCTGGCCTGCACATGGGGGGCCGGCCTGAAACGCGAGGGTCTCCCCCCTCTGCACGGCATGGGAAGCCCTTCCTCTCCGGGGTCTTCCTCAGGGCAGGGAGCAAGAGGCCGTGCGGTTTCGGATTTTGAGGCGGGGCTGCTGCAGTCAGTGGAGATTGCTGAGGAGAAACACTGGCAAGCATTTAAATCCCTGCTTTGGAGTAACTGTGTTTAGAAGGGAAGCAGTGGCAGAGGGGCCAGCGTGGATAGTACAGCGAGGAAGGCTGCCACGCGGCTGGCCCAGGCTAGCTCCCCGGCACCCCAAATGGTCCCCGGAGCACAGAGCCAGGAGTGAGCTCTGAGCACTGCCGGGTGTGGTCCAAAAATGAAAACAAAGAAAAACTGGTAGAAATCCCTGTATCTGGGAAGGAAGAGGCGGGACTGTGTCCCCAGATGTTGCCTGGCGTGTCCCGTGCGTCCCCTCAGCATCAGCCTGGCTGTGGCTGTGAGCTTGGACAGTCAAGTGAAGTGACCCAGCTCGGGAGGCCGCGCCCGCCCCCTGCGTGGCCACCTTGGCTCCATCCGGACGACTCCCCCCTGCACTGTGGTGTCCAGGCGAAGGCGCTGCCCAGAGCCCCAGGTGTGCCCGGGGCGGTGCCAGGCAGGAGGCGGGGCCGGAACAGCAGCGTCCTCCCAGCCACGCCCACGACGGCTATTTGCGTCCGGGGACCAGCACGCTCTGGCCGGGGGCTGTAAAGGGCATCCACGGTCACATGCCACGTGTCCCGGGCCGGTGTCCTTGGCCAGGGCGGCAGTTGCCGAGTGACGTGTCCACTGCCAGGCCCAGCTGGCTGGGCGGGAGAAGGGGTGCGTGCGTGTGTGGGGGGGGGTCTCAGGAACGCGGTGCTCTAAGGTCCCGTGCTGGGGGCTCCCGTGGCTCCCCGAGGCTCCGGCACAGCTGGCGGGGGGGCTGCGGCAGAGCCCAAGACTCCCCTCTGCCCCCCTTGGGAGCTGCTGCCTTCTGCGGAGTGTTGGGGGGAGCAGGCGGGCCAGTGGGGCCTGGGCACACAGGGCTGTCCCCTCACACAAGGCACCATCCTTTTGCATGGCTGAGCCATGTTCTGTGGCGCGCGTGTGCTTATGTGTGTGTGCACACGTGTATGTGCATGGATGTGTGTGCGTGAGTATATGTGTGTGTGTATGTGTATGCTTGTGCGTGTGTGCATGTGCGTATATGTGCGTGTGTGCATGTGCGTAGATGTGCGTGTGTATGTGTGCATGTGTGTGTGTTTGCATGTGTGCATTTGTGCATGTGTGTATATGTGCACGTGTGTATATGTGCATGTGTGTATGTGTGCACGTGTGTATGTGCGTGTGTGTGCGTGCGTGTGCACACTCTGGCACCCCCACCGAGGGGGACAGTCCCTCTGAGAAGCACATGTCACCTGACTTGGTCACTGCAGTGGAGGTGCCTGGGTGGTTCTGGGTCCGGGGAGGGGCCACAGGGCCGGTCCAGGGCTCGAGCCTCAGGTGGGTGAGCTCTGGGTCCCCTCAGCACCGCGGTACAGCCTCATTCTTGGGCTCTGTGCGGTGGGGGCCCCTCCCCCAAATGTCTTCCTGCCCCGTCCCTGTCCCCGCCCTCATCTGGTCAGGGTATTTTCGTGTCTCGGCTCCTGGCTCTCGGGGTCTCAGGGGGCGGCGTGCAGGCCCAGCATGGCGTGGGGGTGTATGGGGTCCGGCAGAGTGGGGTGGGTGCTCTGGGCAGTGTCTCATGTTCCTGGGTGGCACGACTGTCCTCTCTGGAGCAGAGGCTCCCTGCTGGGCACTCGCCGGGTGGTCAGCGCCCCGGTCCAGTCCCTGTACCCAAGGTCAGGCTACCAGCTCGGTCTGTGTGAGACGCCCGCAAGCCTTGACTCGGGCTGCGTCTCCTGCTTCCTGCCTCTCTGTTCGCCGGGGACCTGCCCCCTCACAGGGCAGGGACGCAATCCGGGGCTGGCCTGTCCACATGACCTGAGCCTCCCTGCAGAGGGTAGTAGCCCAGACGCGGGCTGGACGCTCAGGCACTCGGGTTACGCGAGCGCCCCCTGGTGGCCACAGGCCCTCCATGCATCCCTGCACTCAGGGCCCAGCAGCTGGAGGCGGGTAGCGTCTGTCCCCTGCAGAGGGTCCTCCAGCCCCGGGGGCCACGGGTACCAGCCCTGTGCTGCTTCCTTCTCGCCACAGAGGCCCCAGAATCCTCCCGAGCTCCCGTCACCGTGCCACGATGCTTCCCCGCCCCCGTCCACCCTGCCCACTGCCCACTGTCCACGTTGCCCCCGGGAACCATTGCAGAGCCTCAGGGCAGCACAGCTGGGCGAGTCCAGCCCACCCGCGCCTGAGAGCCGGACTGGGTTCCCACCAGCCTGCGGGAGAGCCGGTGATGTTTCTGTCCCTGGGTCTGTGATGCTGGCCTCCCAATGCAACGGCCCTGCATTTCCCCCAGCCCGGGGCGGCCTCAGCGGCACTGCTTCACGGCCACGGAGCGGGCACTGGCCTGGCAGCCGCATTCCACGGGGGCAGGGGCTGGTGTTGGGGACGGAAGGCGGGGGCAGAGGGACCCTCCCCGCCCGGCCGGGCACTCACCTCCTTCTCCCCCGTGTGTTGCAGGGATCGAGCTGTGCCCGCCGGGAAAACGGTTCATGATCACCATGGTGGCCAGCTTCGTGGCCATGGCGGGCCAGTTCCTCATGCCCGGGCTGGCCGCCCTGTGCCGGGACTGGCAGGTCCTGCAGGCGCTCATCATCTGCCCCTTCCTGTTCATGCTGCTTTACTGGTCGTGAGTACCCGCCCCTGCCTCGGGGCTGGCCGGCACATGGACGGGCGCGGGGTGGACAGGATGCATGGATGGGCGGGGGGTGGACGGGCATGTGGACAGGCTCAGGGGTGGACGGGTCGTGTGGAGAGACGCGGGGGTGGACAGGTGCGGGGTGGACGGGGCACATGGACAGATGCAGGAGTGGACGGGTCGTGTGGAGAGACGCGGGGGTGGACGGGGCCGGGAGGCAACGGGGAATGAGGTGCTCAGCCCCTTGTCCTTCGGGGCAGGGAGGAGTAGGGGCCCTTCGGCCCAGCCAGCCTGACCTGCCGTCGGATTTTGCCTTCCCTGGTCAAGACCCTGGTTGGGACCCTGTCCCACCTGCCCACTCTGGAGCCGGCCATTCCCTCACAGCCCTCCGCACGCAGCCCTGCCCCTGCTGCCTGAGGCTGTCACCCTCGTCTGCCCCGAGGCACCAAGTTCCTCCTCCTTGAGGAACTGCCGAGGATACATTTTTAGTAACACCGCGTGGTCTGGATGAGGGGGAAAAACACCGTGGCGGAGGGATCTGACCTTAAGGGTCTGACCTCCTCCTGGGGGGAGGGGCACCTGCCACGCATGGCCCCAGGGACTCTAGGGACCCCTCAGCAGGGCCAGGGCCTGAGGGCGTGGTGACCCATGACTATCAGGGCCTGCCCAGGGCACGTGAGACCCCCCCAGTGCTGGGTGCAGTCAGCCCTGCAGGGTGTGTGAGATCCAGTGTCCGGCGGCCAGCTGGGGGCTCGGTCAGAGCTGTCCTTCCTGGGCGCTGACCGCCGCAGACCCGCCCCGCCTGTGCACAAGTCCGTGGCTGTTTGAGCCCGTCCACGCTGGCTTGGCAGTCGCTCCCCTCTGCCACGATTTGGACATTCCTTGTCCACACTTCCTAGATGCGGGGGTGTCCGGGCGTCCGGCGCGGGCCTGGGGGTCCCGTGGGTCCCGTGGCCGAGATCAGCAGAGCCCCGCGGCCCTCTGCCCTGCAGGATCTTCCCCGAGTCCCTCCGCTGGCTGATGGCGACCCAGCAGTTCGAGGCGGCCAAGAAGCAGATCCTACACCTCACCCAGCGGAGCTGCCTGAGCCCCGAGAGCGACATCAAAGGCATCATGCCTGGTGAGGCGCGCGCTGCCCGGCCAGGCCCAGCCGGGGCCACCCGGCACTGCTGCAGGAGGGAGGGGCCTCGTCTCCCGAGGGAGGGGAAGCCCATGGTGGGGAGAGCATCCGCCACGCGGCACCACACGCACGGGGACGGGACCGCAAGCACCCAGGAGGCGGTGGGATCCCCGGGTCCCTGCGGGCGTGTGGTTCCGTTGCTTGTTGGGGGGTCGCGCCTGGCTGGGCCCAGGGCTTATCCCTGTCTCTGCGCTCAGGGACCAGCTCCTCTCCTGGCGGGGCTCAGGGGACCAAAGTGGGTCAGCCACGCGCAAGGCCAACACCCTCCCCCGCCCTGTGGCTCCGGCCCAAGCGTGCATCTGTTATAAGCTCTGTGACACACGCGTGTGCACGCATGGGGCCTGTGCCCAGAGCGGGGATGGAGCCACACGGTCTCGCACTGTCCTGAGGGTGCTGCCGAGTCAGCATATCCCAGGGAGCAAGGCCCGGGTCCGAGAGAACACGCACACCTCCCCTCAACTCGGAACTTCCGCCCACAGCTGTTTCCTGCCTGTTCTGGAAGCAGCCGCGGTCCCCGGTGTGGGTGGGCTCTAGCCCTGTGTGGCCTCCCAGAATCCCCAGCGACACTCTGGGGTCAGTGAGGCACTTGAGGCAAAACTGATCTGTGTTCTGGTCCCAGAGACGCTGATCCCTTAACTCAGTGTGCGGTGCGTTTCCGTGCCAATGTGCACGTGCGTGCATTCATGTTGTGTGTGTGCCTGCGTGTGTGTACATGTGTGCCCAGGCACGTATGCCCGTGTCTGCATGTGTGCATGTACACGTGTGTGCCACACATATGCACGGATGTATCTTCCCAGCAGAGGACCTTCCAGGGCAGTTGGAGGCAGTGGCTCTGGGCTGAGGTTGTGCGGATTCAGCACTCGCTGTGCGGCCGACTCAGCCCAGGCACTGCCCGTCTGCGTGTGTCCCGGCCAGGGAGTCGCAGCAGCCCTGTGTGGGGGAGGAAGGGGGCAGGCGTGGCTGGGCCCCCCCGCTGAGGTGTCAGGAAAGCGCAGGGGAGGGTCGTGCTGGGCCCTGCTAGGCGTCGGGAAGGCGCCGCTCTGCTCGGCCTCTGGGAGTGAGTCTCTGTGCGGCGGCGCGCCCCCTCAGTGCCAGCCCTGTGCCCTGGCAGGAGGGCAAGGCGGGGCCCGGGCTCACGGTCGCTCTCCGCAGAGCTGGAGAAGGAGCTCTCCCGACGGCCCAAGAAGGTGTGCATCGTCAAGGTGGTGGGCACGCGAAACCTGTGGAAGAACATCGTGGTCCTGTGTGTGAACTCGTGAGTCCTGGCGCGCCCGAGGGTCCCGACTACAGGGCCAGGGTGGCACCTGACGTGGACGGGGCGGGAGAACCTCAGTTCCTGGTCTGGGGGTGCCCACAGGACCACAGGCTGTGTCCAAAGGGCCCCAGGGGGTGTGGCCTCAGGCTGCTGCACCCCAGGGCGCCAGGTGGAAGAGCCCCCCCAGACCCCCAGTCTCGACAGGGTCCTGAGAACCTGGGTCGGGGACCACCCCGAAGGCCGCTGCCCTGCCCGGTGGGCGGTGGCCAGGGAGTGACGGGGTCCAGGCGAGCTGCAGCCCTGGGCCGCCGCCTGGCCGGGCCTCAGTCCCGGGTCTGCGGCCGCCCCCGCAGGCTGACCGGCTACGGCATCCACCACTGCTTCGCCCGGAGCATGATGGGCCACGAGGTGAAGGTGCCGCTGCTGGAGAACTTCTACGCAGACTACTACACGGTGGCCAGCATCGCGCTGGCCTCCTGCCTGGCCATGTGCGTGGTGGTCCGCTTCCTGGGCCGCCGGGGCGGGCTGCTGCTCTTCATGATCCTCACGGCGCTGGCCTCGCTGCTGCAGCTCGGGCTCCTCAACCGTGAGTGGGCAGGGCAGGGCAGGGCAGGGTGGGAGGTGGGGGGTTAGGGTAGGGCAGGGGCAGGGGGCGGGACGTGGAGGGGCAGGGGGTGTGGCAGGATGTGGCCAGGCAGGGGGCGTGGCCGGGAAGGCAGGGGCGGGGCCAGCATGATCATTGGGGTGTGATTGGGCAGGGGCGGGGCAGGGGTGGGGCAGACTGTAGGGGCGGGGCCTAACTGCAGGGGCGGGGCCTAACTGCAGGGGCGGGGCCAGGAAGGGGCGTGGCCCCACCCTGCTTGGGCGCCGGGATCCTGAGCAGAGGGGCTTGGTCCCCACCTCTCGCCCCTCGCCCAGACCCAGGCACGGGCTTGTTTTGTCAGCCCAGGGAGGTCCACACGGCCTGGTCTGGCCGCACACGACCGATCAGGAGACACTGGGCGGGGTGGGGGGGGCCGGGGAGTGTCCAGGCGCCCTCGGGTCCCTGCTGCAGACAGCAGGAGCCGGGCGGGTCAGCGTGGAGGGACAGGCCGGGCTGGGCATGCTCGGCCGCGGGTCCCGGCAGTCCAGGACCCCCGTGCTCCCTTCCGTGCCGGCTCGGGCACCCACGGGCCTGCCTCCACGGCCCTCCCGCCCGCCGGCCCCGTGAGCCTGGCCAGGACCGCGCCCGTGGGCCGGGCCGCCTGCGGGGAGGCCACTCGCGTCTCGGAGGGGCCCTCGGCTGACCTGCCTCTCTCCTCCCGCCGCCGCCGCCGCCCCGCCGCCGCGCAGTGATCGGAAAGTACAGCCAGCACCCCGACTCAGGTGAGGCCCGCGCGCCCCCCGGCCCCCGCGGGCGCGCCCCGCGAGACTGACTCTGGTCTCTCTCCTCCTTCCCCTCCAAGAGTTGCAGCTGAAGTTGGCCGTAGGTTGGACACTAAGCGTATACTCGCCCCCCCCTGCCTCCCGGCAGCGCCCCGCTCGCTCGCCCGCATGCCAGCCCCCCGCCTGGTGCCCGCTCGGCTCCCCCCCCCCGCGCCCCCGCGGCCGGGCAGCTGCCGTCCCCTCCCGTGGGTCACGCACGTGTGCGCTGCTGGTCACGGCTGCCCGCCCTCACCCCCCCGCCGCCGGGGAGCCCAGGACGCGGCCTCGCGGGCCCCCACCGACCCCCAGCTGCATGCCGCTGGCCCCCCGGCCTCCGCCGGGCGTGAGGTCAGGCCCCGGCCGTGCAGGCTGGGCCCCCCACGGCCCCCGAACTGAGACTCGGCCCCGGTTCGGGGCTGGCCGGGCCGCAGCGGCGGGCAGGTGACGCCCTGCAGCCAGAGGGCCCTGACCTCACTGCCCGCCCGGGGTCCCGGGTCTGCAGGGGCGAGGGCTCCGGCCTCCCTCCCCTCCCCGGAGGACGCCGTGCCGCCCCCGCCCCGCCCGCCGGGCCCCGCTCACCGCCCCCCTCCCCGCGTGCTCCCCCAGGCATGAGCGACAGCGTCAAGGACAAGTTCTCCATCACCTTCTCCATCGTGGGCATGTTCGCCTCGCACGCCGTGGGCAGCCTCAGCGTGTTCTTCTGCGCCGAGATCACGCCCACCGTCATCAGGTGCGGGTTGGGCCGGGGGCGGGGGCGGGGCGGGGTCAGGGCGGGGCCAGATGGTGGGCGGAGCCAGGGGAGGGGCGGGCCAGGCACCGAGATCACGCCCGTCATCAGGTGCGGGGCGGGCCGGGGGCGGAGTCAGGGGCGGGGCCAGATGGTGGGTGGAGCCAGGGAGGGGCGGGCCAGGCATTGAGATCACGCCCACCGTCACCGGGGCGGGGCCGGGGGCGGAGTCAGGGGCGGGGCCAGAGTGTAGGCGGGGCCGGAGGGAGGGGCGGGCCAGGTGCCGAGATCACGCCCACCGTCATCAGGTGCGGGGCGGGCCGGGGGCGGAGTCAGGGGCGGGGCCAGATGGTGGGTGGAGCCAGGGGAGGGGCGGGCCAGGCATTGAGATCACGCCCACCGTCACCAGGGCGGGGCCGGGGGCGGAGTCAGGGGCGGGGCCAGAGGGTGGGCGGGGCCGGAGGGAGGGGCGGGCCAGGTGCCGAGATCACGCTTACCATCATCAGGGGTGGGGCGGGGCCAGGGTGGAGTCAGGGGCGGGGCCAGATGGTGGGTGGAGCCAGGGGAGGGGCGGGCCAGGCATTGAGATCACGCCCACCGTCACCGGGGCGGGGCCCGGGGGCGGAGTCAGGGGCGGGGCCAGAGGGAGGGGCGGGCCAGATGCCGAGATCACGCCCACCGTCATCAGGGGCGGGGGCTGGGGCAGAGCAGGAGAGGGCCGGGGGCAGAGCCGGGTCGGGCTCTGAGATCACGAGCTCACGCCCACCGACATCAGGTGGGGGGGGGAGACGGGGCAGGCCGGAGCTGGGGGCGGGGTCAGGGGCGTGGCCAGAGGGTGGGCGGGGCCGGGGCCAAGCTGGGTCAGCCCCGGCGTGGACCAGAGCTGGGGCTGGAGGGTCAGGGAGCAGTCCCCGGGCCCGGCCGTTCCTCTCTGAGGGCAGCGGATCTCACGGTCCGGACGTCACACTGGGGGGGGGTTGTGCAGCAGCCCAGGGATGTCCCACCCAGCGTCCTGACCCCCCGACCACCCGCCACAGCCGCACACATCCTGGCGTGGGGGCTGCGTCCGTGTGTCGTTCTCGTCTAAGGGGAAGTGGCCTTTCTGGGCCACCGGCCAGTGCTGACGATGTCAGAATGTTCTGGGCTCGGCTGAGCAGTGCTGCCCCCTCCCATCTGTGCGTGTGGGGGGCCGAGCGGTATCACTGGCATTTCTAACACATGCCCCAGCGGATGGGGCCGTGGGCATGGGCAGGCACTCGCTGGGCTCCGCTGGGAGGCAGCCGGCGTGGGCGGGGGGGGGGGGGACACTGCTCCCCTGCCCTTCCGCGCCCAGTCCTCGGCCCCAGGGCCACTGCAGACTCATTGGGGCGGCCCGGGGCATGGGGGGCCAGGAGCGGGCACCAGGTCTGGCCTCCGTGCCGCGCGCCTGTGCCAGCATGCTGTCCACGGGGTTCGCATGACCTCATCTGGATTCTTCTCTGGGTTCCTGTCACACACGCCAAGCCCGAAGGCCGCTCGGTACCTGCAGGGGCGATGCCAAGGGACTGTGTGCTTATGCAAGGAGCCATTAGGTGCCAGGTTCTGTGGCCCCCGCCTCTGCGAGAGCCGAGGGGAGGGGGCCAGCCCAGCTGCATCCTCGCCCCTGCAGAAGAATCTAGCCAGCTCCTCTGTGGCTGGTGTGATATCCCCGGGGGGTGGGGGGATGGGGGGCAGCGAGGGCTGGTTCTGGCTGGTGCCCGTAGGAAATGCAGTGCCTTCAGCAGCTCTGACCGGGGCTTTTCTTTGATGCGTTTGGTTGCAGCCGTCGAGTGGGGTCTGCGGGCTCAGGGACAGGGGTTCTGAGGTGGGGGTCTGCTCACGCCTGACACGTGTGTGCACCGGAGCTCGGCGCTCTCGCGGGCAGAGCCCCATATGGAGGCCCAGGCTGCCCTCTCTGAGAAAATCGGCCTGGTAGGACAAGGGAGCAGTGAGCACTTGGCCCGGGCGACGTGTTTACGTTGGCAGAGGATGCAGAGGTGAACCCGAAGGGGCGTCCGGCAGGGCTGCGGAGTTTTGGTCCCTTCGGGAGTCCCGTCCCCGTGAGCGCCAGGGACCATCCCGAAGGCACCGGGTTGGAAGTGGGCCCCACACCTCCCCACAGACAGACCCACCAGTCAGGACGGGCAGCAGGCTCCGAGACACACTTGCCCTCACGCGAACCAGCCTGTGTCCGTGGCCTGCACGCAACACAGAACAAGCAGGCCAGGAGGACTGAGACGGGCAGAGCTCGGTGCCCGGGTGCCATCCCCGCCCCGAACGCCCTGGGGAGGGCTGGCCCTCCTGCAGGCCTGCCAGGGCCCTGAGCACCGAGTTCCAGGCAGGGCAGGTGGACTGGGCTGGGGCCCCAGGCAAGGCCCCTCTGAGGCCAGGCCGCTTTGCTGAGTGGCATGAAGGAGTCTGTGGGGGAGCATGTGGCCTTCGGGACAGTGATGAGACCCTTCCTACTGGGGCAAGTTCTTTATTTCTGTAAAAACAGGCACAAATACCTCTCCATCCGTGATGTTACAGAAATGCGGTGGAGACTAATTAAAACACAGAGAAAGAGTGAGGGGGCAGAGTGACAGCACAGCGGGGAGGGGGTTTGCCTTGCATGCGGCCGACCTGGGTTCGATCCCTGACATCCCATAGGGTTCCCCCAAGCACTGCCAGGAATAAGCCCTGAGCACAGAGCCAGGAGTAACCCCTGAGCATCGCTGGCTGTGGCCCCAAATGAGAGAAGTGTGTGGTGTGTGGGGCGGGGGGAATTCTTGGCTCTCAGTGCAAGATGCCGTCCCTGTGCTGAACAGAATAACTGGCAGATTGCAGGCCCCTCTGAGCAGACTCGGCCCTTCCAACTGGCCTGCTGTGCATGGAACGAGCCTTAAGAGAGCTGGACTCGCAGCTGGTAGTGGCCACCCATGGGGTGGGGGTGGCAAGACTCACGCCTGCCTGTGCAGGGCAAGTGTGGCCGCGTGCTGCCCTCTGGTGACGAGCTGGGGGAAAGCAGGCGATGCCCGTGGAAGGCCCCCCAGGGAGGTGGGGAGCTGGTCTTGGAGCAGAGAAAGAACCAGAGGAAAATGACGCAGAGTGGAGGGGCCGAGCAGCGCCCATGGGGGACAGGCATGTGGGGGCCGAAAAGGCGGGACCTGGCACTGTCGCCTCCTCAGGCTCCTCTGCCTACCCCCGGGCCTCTGCACTGCCGCGTGACCGTGACAGCACAGAGGAAAATGCCAGCAGGAAGTCAGCTAGAAAGTGGGCTCGGTCTCAGGATGAGCCCAGGAGAAACGCCACTGTCCCCACCTGCCCATCTCTGCCCCTTGGCACTGACCCGCGTGCCCGTGTCATTGTCACGTGCTCCAGGAACGGGGCTTCCTTCCGTGTCTGGTGTCTGTGGCCAGCTGGTAGACAGATGATTCTGGGCACGAGTAAGGGACAGACGTGTTTGCGTCAGGCTGCTCCCAAGGCCAGAAGGACCAGAGGCCACCCACGGCCCGGCTGCTGCGGGTCCTGAGGGTCCCACTCGAGGGCAGCGCTAGAGGCTTCCTGACGGGCCCAGGAGCAGGCCCATAGCCTGGGGCGCGTTTTGTGTGTGGGAGCCTGAGTCTGACCCCCAGGAAGACCCCAGAGTATCATGCCCCAAGAAACCACTGGGTGTGGGACATTCCCCCCCCCCCCAAACACACAGACACACACGTGGACACACATGCCCCAAGAAACCACTGGGTGTGGGACATCCCCCCCAGCACACAGACAGACACACAACACAGACAGACACACGGACACACATGCCCCAAGAAACCACTAGGTGTGGGACATCCCCCCAACACGCACACAGACACACAGATACACACGCGGACACACACAGGCCCCAAGAAACCACTAGGTGTGGGACATCCCCCCCAGCACACACACACACAGACACACACACAGACATACAACACAGACAGACACACGGACACACCTGCCCCAAGAAAACACCAGGTGTGGGCACCCCTCCCCCAACACACACAGACACCCAGGCATCATTAAGCCCATGGAGACACACAGATGTGCAGCCCGTGTCCTCTGCCCACCGGCTCGGGGCCACCCCCAGGGATGGCAGAGTCGCTTGCTTCCTTGGTCTCTGCACCCCACCCGTGTGGACCTACAGCTCGCGGGGCACCAGGCAATGGACTTGTGGCCTCCTGGGGGCGACTGAGCAGCCACGGGCAGCATCTCCCTGGGATCCGTCTCTGCCCTGAGGCTGGTGCCCAGGCCCACTTGGGACAGTCTCCCCGGGGAGGGGACCCTGGTTGTCTCCGGCTGTGGCGAGGAGCAAGCTGGCTGCAGACGCCTGTGCTGACCCGGGCGCCGGCTGCCCCGTGCAGCCTGACAGCCTGGGGGTCGCGCTGTTGTTCAGGGTGCACACGCCTGGGCCCTGGCTTTGCGCGCTCCGGTTCTGGCTGCAGACCCCACCCCGGAGTATCCCCACCTCCGGTCCCGGTCCATCGCTCCCATGTCTCCCGTCATCTGTCTCCCTGCTTAGAGCCATGGCCTCCAGACTTACTTGGCCAGCACCCCCTTTTCAGAAAAAAAAAATCCCCTGCCCCTGGGAACTGACCTCCTGGAAGAAAAGTGTCCAGCGGCTGCACTGGGTGCCCAGCAGCCCTCGGGGAAGCCTCCAGGCTTCTCTGCTGCCACCCCCCCCTCCCCCAGCCCGGGCTCCTGCCCCGGGCCCAGCCCCCCACGCTCTCCTTGGCCTGCCACTGACTTCCTTCCCGGCTTCCGGCTGACCCTCCATCCCGCGGCACCGGGAGGGAGCGTGTCCACCTGGTGCTGGTCCTGGCCAGGGCGGGGTGGTCCCGGCCTTCCCCGCGGGCGTGCTGTGAGCGGGGCTCCTGCCCCGGTTGCCAGGCCCCTGTGCCCCGCTGACCTGCCTCGTGCGCGGACCCCGCAGGTGCGGCGGCCTGGGGCTGGTGCTGGCCAGCGCGGGCTTCGGCATGCTGACGGCGCCCATCATCGAGCTGCACAACCAGAAGGGCTACTTCCTGCACCACGTGCTCTTCGCCTGCTGCACCCTCATCTGCATCATCTGCATCCTGCTGCTGCCCGAGAGCCGCGGCCAGGGCCTGCCCGAGAACCTCTCCAACGGCGAGCACTACACGCGCCAGCCGCTGCTGCCCCACCGCAAGGGCGAGCAGCCGCTGCTGCTCACCAACGCCGAGCTCAAGGACTACTCGGGCCTCCACGACGCGGCGGCCACGGGCGACGGGCTGCCCGACAGCGCCACGGCCAACGGCATGCGCTCCATGTAGCCGGCGCGCGGGGGGCGCGCGCGCTCCAGGGAGCCGGTGCGCGGGGGGCGCGCGCGGACGGCCGCCCGCCCGCCCCGGACTTTCTTTTCTGCCATGAGATGTTTGTATTTATTTTGGTCATTTTTACAAGAAGCACTTTACACCCTCTCATGATCTCAGCAAGGGCGTCCACCCTCGGGAGAGGGGCGCGGCCGCGGGGGCCGTGCCGGGGGGCCGGGGGCCGCGCTCCCCAGCAGCCCCCGTCGGAAGAGCCCGCCTGCCGGGAGATGAGTGCCAGTGCTGCCGTGGAAAGGACCAGAAGCTTCGCGCCCCGCCCCGCCCGCCCAGCCCCGCCTGGGGCCGCGGACCCTGCCCCTCGCCCAGCTCTACCTGTAAACACGCGGCCGCGGGGACCGGCGCGCCCCGCCCCCCCGGGGTCCCCCACACCTCGAGCACATCACACAGACATCACCAGCCTGCAGGACAGCCGGGCAACGTGGGGGCAGGGGGCGCGGCGCCCCCGCGGGCGAGTGTCACCGGGGTCCCCCCGGAACCAGAGACGGACAGAGCGAAGCAATAACCCCCCAGCCCGCCCCCACCCGGCCCGCCGCGCCCCCTTCTTCTCGCTCGCCAGCTCGGGCTCCTCCACTGCCGGGAGTGCTCCGCCGGGAGTGCTCCTGCAGCCGCACCGCGGGGCCACGAGGACCCCCGCCGCCTGGGGCCTTTATTTTCTTTTATTTTTTTCTGGAGTTTCCCCGTCCCTGGCAGCGTCTGCGCGGGCCGTGCCCAGGGAAATGTGCGTCCCTGGTCCGGGCAGCCGTGAGGACACGGAGGCGGGTCAGGGCTGAGCGCACCCCGGCCCCGACGCCTGCTTGCGCCGTGCGCCCACCTTCGCGTGCCAAACCAGAAACCTTTTGCCTTTTCTCAAATACTTGCTACAGAGCCACCGGGGCGCGGGGGGCGCGGCGGCCCAGGCGGGGTGCCCGGGTCCCCCCAGGACTGGCTCGCTCCGCCTCGCATCCTTCCCCAGGGCCTCCGTCCACCTTAAGTGACCCACTAAGAAGCGTCCTGACCGGGCCAGCGCCGGGCCGGGGCGGGGGCTGGGCACCCGGGGCTCTGGACGCACCCTGCTCGCTCCCACCCGGCAGTCACTTCTCAGGCTGCGCCCTTGGCCGGGGCCGGGCTGGCTCTGCACTCGGACCCTGCCCCGAGTCGCTGAGCAAAGAAACGGGAACGGAAGAGGCTGGTCGCTGGCGAGGGGGGAGGGGCGCCAACACAATCCCCGCCGGAGGCCACTCGCGCCCCTTCCTGCAGCCACTCGAGGGCCCAGGTGCCAGTGGAGCTGCCCGAGCCCGTCCCCACCCCGCGTGTCTTCCGTCCGTGTCGCGGCGCGCCCCGCCGTCCCCCCACCCCACCTCGAGGTCTGTCGGACCCGTGTCTGTCCGTGTCTCCTGGGCCACTCCGGAGGGGTCCCTCCTAGCACAAGCCCCGACCGAGCCCTGAACTGTCGTTCGAAGCCGAATGTCTGCATGATGTCGCGTGTCGGCCCTGGGGAGGGTCCGTCTGTATGTGCAGGACACGATGCTGCCCCTAAGTTTTCCTCGGGAACATCCTCCCTACCTCATCTGATGGTACCCACTGGAGGCATCTCACCACCATTGGCCACAAGTAATAAACGACCTGCTTACTCATCGCCCATTCCTCGCTCTGGCGGCGGCCTGGGGTGGGGTGGGGGGCAGGGCAGCTGGGGCTCTTTCCCCTCACAGCCGAAGGACGTGACCGGCCCTGTGACTCCGGGGGAAGTTCTGCTTGCCCTGAGCAAACGGGCAGACGGCACCTGGACTGGAGAACTGGCTGGCCACTAGCTGCCCAGCTGCCGGCCAGGCCTCCTGGGGCGCACGGCGGCCTGTATCTGGGCACCTCCCCACCCCCCACAAAATGCCTGTTGTACGAGCCGCTAAGGCCACGTGGGGCGGGGGGGGGGACAGACAGAGCCTGGGGTATGGCAGGATGCGCTGGGGGTGGGACGGGGACAGGCTGGGGGCACGCCCGCCTCACTGAGGCTTGGCCTGCTGACCCATCCATCAGCCCCCTTGAGCTCAGAGACCCTCACTGGACCCCCATCCACATCCCTGGGCAGGAACACGCGGTGATGTTATGTCCACCCTGTGTGACGGAGAGGAACCTTCCAGAAACAAAGGCGGGAGGCCCTGGCCTTGCACACAGCCGACACCCCGCCTGTCTTCCGGTCGCACTGGGAGTGTGCCCCACCCCACCCACCCCCAAAGGAAAGAAGGGACGTCGGCACACTAGACGGGGGTGGGTGGGCGCATCCTTTATTCAGGCACTGACAGTCTCCCAGCCACGCGGCTAGAACTTCTCAGGAAACGCCTCCATCTCCTCCTTGATCCTGTTCTCCACAAGCAGTGTGAAGCCGCTGTCGGCCGTGGGGAGGTTGTAGCTGACGAACACCTGCTTGCGGGTCTTCCGGGCTACGGCGAGAGAATGGGCCGCTGGGCGGGCCGGGCGGAGACACCGGCCTGGCACGGTCCCCCGGCCCTGGAGGCCACGAACGTGGCAGTCCCTTTCTCCAGCCCCGCGGGGAACCTTCGGCAGGAAGCCCCCACGCCTGCCCAGGGTAGCGAGGTGGTCCTCGCTTTGGGAAGCTCCCACGGCGGCCCTGCGGCTCTGCTGCCCACCGGGCTCGGCCCTCAGCCCACTCAGATGGACACGTGGCCACAAGACAAGCCTGCTCGAGGCCCCGCCCACAGCTGGCCACGACCGCAGCTCCAAGCCTAGGCACTGAGTGACCCCATGAAGAGGCCCGGGCAGGCAGGCATCACCGCACACAGCTGCTCGGCTAGCGACGGCTGCCCTGGGGACCCCCACTCTCCCCCAGGTCACCCTGAGCAGAATACATGTGGAGGACCGACGTGGCGGAGGCTCCCGAGAGGGGGTCACAGCCCTGGGCTGTGACCAACAGTGACCGCCCCCGGCTCCTGGCAGCCCGGCTTGGCACCAACCACATCCCAGGGTCCCCCAGGAGATGCCCATTTGGGGCAGCGTAGGCGGCCCTGTGAGGCTTCACCTTCTCAGGGGCCTTGGCACGCGGGAGGCTGGGAGGGGCTCCTGGGGCCTGACCCCCCATCTCCCGCGTGCAGAGCGCACTCCGGCCTGCTGGGCTCTGTCCGGCCCTGAGACCCCCGTTAGGGAGAGAATAAGAACCAGATGTGGGGGTCTCAGTCTGTTTCACTGTCGAAGGGCAGGAGCCGAGGAGAAAAAGACAAAAGAAAAAAGGGAACCTCCAGGTCCAGAAGACAGCAGCCGTGCCTGGCCCAGGGGGCTGCACTGATTCTGCCACCACCAGTGGCCCCTCGAGAGGCAGATCCTCCGCCAGGGGCGGCCAGGGGAAGGCAGAGAGAAGAGCCCACTCGCCGCACCAAGTCAAAACCCCAGCAATGCTGGCGGCCGTTAGGACGCCCGGGCCGAGCCTAACCGTGGTGAGCTGGAGTCTGGGCTCCAGCGCTGTCTCTGTGGGGCCGCCCTGCCCTGTCCAGGCGTGCTTCTAGAACCATCGATCGCCCCCACCAGCCCACACAGGAAGGGGGTCCAGAGGGCGTCACCTGCACTCAGGGCGGAGGGAAGCGAGGCAAGCGGGAGACCCCAGGCCCAGGGCCTCCCCTGAGGCTCCCTCTGGGGTCCGGGAATGCGGTCACGTACCTAGGCGCTGTGCCAGGCCAGCAGAGGCTGGGTCGGACGCGTCTCCGAAGAGGGAGGTGGCCACTGGGACGGAGTCCTGAGAGCAGAGCAGCGCGTGAGGCGGCGGGGGCCGGGCGGGCAGTGCAGGGGGACGGGCTGGCCCAGGGCGGCCACACCAGGCTCAGGGGGGCTCCCAGCGGACGCCCCAGGCCAGAGAAGTGAGGGCTCCCTCGGGATCATGGCCAGGCCCCTGATCGCAAACACTAATGACCGAGCACCCCGGCAGGCTGGAGAGACAGCTCAGCCGGGAGGGCACCTGCTTCACACACGCGGCCGACCCGGGTTCGATCTCTGACACCCCATGTGGTGCCCCGAGCACTGTGGGAGCGATCCCTGAGCACCACCAGGTGTGGCCCCACCCCAAGAAAACAAACATGAAACACGTGGTCCTTCCCGCCCACCCAGGAACACGGCGCCTGGCTCCCTCTCAGCCCGGAGAGCAGAGCACAAGGAACGGGGGCAAGAGCCCACACGCAGAGACCCCGAGTTCCACCCCGCGCCGCAGGGTCCCCGCAGCTCCCCACAGCAGGGGGAGCACCCTCCGCCTTCCATCGCGGACGCTCAGCCCGAGGCCTGGATGGGAGCTGAGCCCGGCAGCAGCAGGGCGTGGGGGGAGAGACCCCCGCGAAGGCCCCACGCTCTCCTGCTGCCGGAAACTGCGGGACCCACAGCAAAGCAGCCCCAGGGGTGGGTCTCCCCAGAAACAAGCCAGGCCTCAGCCCAGCCAGAGGGTAGGATTGGCTCTGCGACCCCTCCCCCATGGCCCGCCCCTGCTGCCTCCCGCCTGGCGCCAGACACCCGGGACCCCCTCCCCTGCCTGCACCCACCTGTCCCTCTAAGCCCCCCGCGTCCCTCTTGGTCTGTGTCCCCTCACGTCCCTCTCGGTCCCATGTCCCCCACATCCCCTGTGTCCACTCCCCATGTCCCTCTTGCTCCCCACGTGTCCCCCCGTCCCTCGAGGTTCCCCCCAAGTCCCCCGTGTCCCCCCTCCCTCTAGGTCCCCCCCACACCCCTCTTGTCCCTCTCCCGCGTGCCCCCGTCCCTCTAGTTGTCTCCGTGTCCCTCTCCCATGTCCCCCCGTCCCTCTACGTGTCCCCCGTGTCCCTCTCGGTCCCCCCTGTGTCCCTCCACCGTGTCCCCCTGTCCCTCTCGGTCCCCCAATGTCCCCCGTGTCCCTCTCCCGTGTCCCCCCGTCCCTCTAGGTGTCCCCGTGTCCCCCTCCCGCGTCCCCGCACTCACGAAGCGGCTGCACATGGCCACGGCCAGGTTGCGCAGGTGCGGCGTGGCGCCCACCCAGAGGAAGAGCGAGTCCGTCAGCCGCATGACGTGGAAGTGCACGAGCTGCTCCCACAGCCTGGCGCTGAAGTTGTGCAGGGACACGTCCCCGGCCGCGGCCCGCGGCTCCTCCATCCGGGCCGGAGCGACCGGGAGCCGGACCAGGCAGGCGCGCGCGCCGCCGCCGCCGCCGCTCCAGGCCCGAGCGCGCCAGCGCGGACGCGCTTCCGGGGGCCGGCGGGGCGGGGCGGGGCCTCCGGATGGGGCGGGGCGGGGCCTCTGCTGGCGGCGTATCTTACGGAGCGGGCAGGGCCGGGGGCGGAGCTGGGGCGGGTCTCTGGCGGAGGGGCGGGACCTAGGGCGGGGCATCCTTGGCGGGGGCGGGGCTTAGGGAGGGGCGGGGCCTCTGCTGGCGGCGTGTCTTATGGAGCGGGCAGGGCTAGGGGCGGAGCTGGGGCGGGTCTCTGGCGGAGGGGCGGGACCTAGGGCAAGTCATCGCGTGGCGGGGCGGGGCTTAGGGAGGGGCGAGGCCTCTGCTGGCGGCGTGTCTTATAGAGCGGGCAGGGCTAGGGGCGGAGCTGGGGCGGGTCTCTGGCGGAGGGGCGGGACCTAGGGCAGGGCATCCCGTGGCGGGGCGGGGCTTAGGGAGGGGCGGGGCCTCTGCTGGCGGCGTATCTTACGGAGCGGGCAGGGCCAGGGGCGGAGCTGGGGCGGGTCTCTGGCGGAGGGGCGGGACCTAGGGCGGGGCATCCCTGGCGGGGGCGGGGCTTAGGGAGGGGCGGGGCCTCTGCTGGCGGCGTATCTTACGGAGCGGGCAGGGCCAGGGGCGGAGCTGGGGCGGGTCTCTGGCGGAGGGCCGGGGCCTAGGGCGGGGCATCCCGTGGCAGGGGCGGGGCCTCTGTTGGCGGCATCTTATGGAGAGGGCAGAGCTAGGGGCGGGTCTCTGGCGGAGGGGGGGGACCTAGGGCGGGGCATCCCTGGCGGGGGCGGGGCTTAGGGAGGGGCGGGGCCTCTGCTGGCGGCGTATCTTATGGAGCGGGCAGGGCCAGGGGCGGAGCTGGGGCGGGTCTCTGGCGCAGGGCCGGGGCCTAGGGCGGGGCATCCCGTGGCAGGGGCGGGGCCTCTGTTGGCGGCATCTTATGGAGAGGGCAGAGCTAGGGGCGGAGCTGGGGCGGGTCTCTGGCGGAGGGGGGGACCTAGGGCGGGGCATCCTTGGCGGGGGCGGGGCTTAGGGAGGGCGGGGCCTCTGCTGGCGGCGTCTTATGGAGAGGGCAGAGCTAGGGGCGGGGCTCTGGTCTAGGGGCGGGGCATCTTGTGGAGAGGGCGGGGCTCCGGGCAGGGCGGGGCCTCCGGGGCCGGAGCCAGAAGGCGGGTGTGAGCCGGGACCCTGGAAAGAGGCTCCAGGCGCACCCCGGGTTGTTCTCTCCTGGGAAGTCCCCCAGCCCTGGCCTGCGGACCCCCTGGGACCACACAGCCAAGGACCCCGGGGCAGCGCCTCCTTGCAGAGAGCCCCCGCCTGGCCCCTGGCGCCAGGAGGCCAGAGTGGCCTTGAGGGACGGCCCTGCCCATCTGCCGAGAGCCACAGGTGCCCCCGGCGCCTCCTGGGGTCCGCGTGGGCCCCTCTTCTGCCCACGCTGCGCCCCTCCCTGCCGCCCGCACGCCAGGCCGTGCTCCGCGTCCCTGCCCCACCCCTGTGCACCCCGGCCAGCGTCCCCCGGCACGTGGGAACCGGCCAGCCTTGCTCTGCTGACCGCCCCGCACACACCCGGTGGGCGGTGATGCTCTTTGGGGCCCCTCGGAGCCCAGGAGCGGGTGGTGTGTCTGCCCCGCCGTTGAGGGGGGCGATAAAGGTGTGCACAGTAGAAGGGGCAGGGCCGCTCGCAGCCAGCGGAGGCCCCAGCCGAGCCCCCCACACGGTCCCCGGGTGAGAGCTCAGAGCCCGGACCAAGCTCTGAGCACAGCCAGGTGTGAGCCAGAAAAAACAAACAAACAAAAGTGTGCGTGAAGGGGAGCCTCGCGAGCCCCAAAACAGAACAGTGTGCGGCACCGCTGGGAGACCCCCGGGGCTCCGCACAGCCCCCCACCCCTTCCCCTGCCTGAGGCACCTCCAAGGGGCCGCCCTTTGTCGGGCTCTGCCTCTCATCAACTCAGGCCTCTTGCAATCAGCCACGGGGACTGGCATCCCCCACGCGTGTACACACACACACACACACACACACACACACACACACACACACACCCTCTGTGCATGCTTCCGTGGTGGGTGCAATACTGCATAGAGCCACTAGGTGGCAGCCGGCCGCAGCTCTGAGAAAGAGCCAGTGTTGGTGTGCATGTGTGTGTGTGCACGCCTGCGTGTGTGCGTGTGTGTGTGTGTGCATGCGGGTGCGTTTGCGCGTGCCTGGACGTGCCTGTGTACACGTGTACGTGTAATGTTGCCGGAGAAGTCTCCCCCTGAGGCTGTGGCATTTCAGGGGGATTGGGATCCAACAGCAGCTGGCGTCTCCCGGCCTGGGAAAGGGGCCGCCTCCGGCAGGCGAGACTGCAGCCAAAGATACGCACATTCGCGTATTTGGCCTTGCTTAGGGGCCACGCACAGCGGTGGTGCTCGGGGACTGATGCAGTCGTGTGCCTTAACCTCTGCACTCAAATAAATGTCCCTCGGGCTCATCGCCAGCCAGTGTGTGGTGTGTGTGTGGATTTCTGCTACCTGTCCCCAGCAGCCCCGTGGAAGAGGGTTACAAAGCCCTGTTCTGGAGTCCCATAATGCTAGAGGTGGTTGCTGGGGGGCGGGGGGGGGGGGGGTACAGGTGCTGGAGGAGGCCAGAGGCATCCAGAACATTCACTGTCTTCAGCACCTAAACCCACCCCTTTCCAAAGCTTGAGCAGCGTGTGTGAGCTCAGGCCTCACTGCATGCCGTCAGAGCCCTGCGTGCAGGACACCCACTGCCCGGGGTTCCTCCTTTCCCCCAATGCCCTCACACTCCCGGTCCACGGCAGAATGTGTGGTGTGTGTGGACAGGGGCACAGACACGAGGGAAAAGGGACAGCAGGAGCTAAAGCAAGGCCGTTTCCCACACAGGGGCGGGGGGGTGGGGCAGACAGGCACCCCTGAGAGACCTTGCTCAAGCCCAGCAGAACCTTCCAGATGGGAAGGCTGAAGCAGGTCAAAGGACACGGCCTTGTCGGTGGTGCGCCGAAGACTCCAGGTTCCAGAGGGCAGCTCAGAACATTTCTGCACCCTGCCACCCCCCGCAAAAACCCATCTACATCCCTTCACAGCAACGGCCCCTTTCAGGGAGCCCCGGGGGCAAGGGGGTTCCCTAGGAGACGGCAAGTCCACAGCACAAGGGACCCTGCCCCCCATTCCCCCACCCCCCACTCCCCCACCCCTGTCCCGTGCAGGCGGGGGATCTGGGGGAGTAAGGATGCTCAGCCCCCTCTCAGCCAGCCCCCAGCGGGAGGGCAGGGGCGTTCTCACCACGGAGAACAATCTGGGCCTTTGTAAGGGGCCCTGAGGCTGATTCATTCATTCCTCTCCTACTGCAGCTGGGCCGGGTGCTTCCGCTCCTGCCCGCCCTCGGGAGGGCAAGTGTCAGCACCGCGCCCCCTCCGCAAGCTGGACGCGCTGTCCACCTCTGCAGGCGGTGATGAGGGGATGCCCCCCCCCATCACCACCACCTGGTACTTCCAGCAGAATTTCTGGTCCAAGTGCCTGACCTGCAGTGCTCGCCCCGGCCAGCTTCTCTGGGAAGCAAAGCGTTCGGCGTGCATAGAACAGATTCCAGCTCATCCTCCTCCTCCCCCTCCTCCCCCGATTTCCTTAGGGGAAAATCAAGGTCCACTCCAGCGGTCAGCCTGGCCTGCGGCAAATGCCGGACTGGGGCTGGTCTCCTCTGCGGGCGCCTCCCCCGCCCCTGGGCACCCCCGGGCACCCAGCCCCCACCTCTCCGGCTCCTTCCCATTCCTCTCCACCAGCTGCTTCGTGTTTGTTTGGGGGCTCACTCCCGGTTCTGTGCTCAGGGAGACTCGTGCGGTGCTTGGGACTGAACCCGGGTGCGCGGCCCGCAGTGCTCTCTCTCCACCTCCAGGGCTGGGGGCTGGCTTTGTTCGTCGGTTTCGGGCACACGATGTTCCAACTCCGCATCTCTCGCCAGCGCCCAGAGTCTGGCCCTGCAGTGCAGGGAAGAGGGGCGCGGGCTCAGGACAGAGGCCCGGAGGGCGCGCACAGGGGACTGGCGGAGAATTTCAGAGCGGGCACGTCCTAGACGTGCTGTAGGACCACACCCTGCTCTACTTTGGCTGTAAATAGCTTTTCTTTTTCCTTTTCTGGGCCACTTCTGTGGGTGCTCAGAGCTTAGTCCTGACCCTGTGTTCAGAGATCACTCCCGGAGGTGCTCAGGGGACCTTGTGTGGTGCCAGGGACAGAAACAGTGTTGGCCATAGGCAAGGCCAGTGCCCATGGTGCTACCTCTTGGGCCTCTTATTCTCTTTCTGATGGGAGCTCAGTCGGCAGTGCTCGGGGAAGAACTCAGTGCTCCCATACATGAAGCCTGTGCTCCAGCCCCTGAAGCCTCCCCAGCCCCTAGAAACTTCTTTTTCTAAGAGCCTCGAGTCAACCCCTTCTGACTGTAAAAATCTATTTTGGGCAGCCACTCAAAACCATCTCCTAAGGATTATTTTGGGGATTTTTGGGTTTTTTTTATAATCTACTTTGATTTTCAAGTCATGTATGTTTTAATTTTTTTTTTACAAAATGTATTTATCTTGGGGCTAGAGTGATAGCACAGCGGGTAGGGCGTTTGCCTTGCACGCGGCCGACCCGGGTTCAATTCCCAGCATCCCATATGGTCCCCTGAGCACCACCAGGAGTAATTCCTGAGTGCAGAGCCAGTACTAACCCCTGTGCATTGCCAGGTGTGACCCAAAAAGCAAAAAAAAAATGTATTTATCTTATGCATAGTGATTTTTGTCATGATCTCGATCCTCCTGTTGTTTGTCGATTGCCTCGAGCAGGCACCAGTAATGTCTCCTTCGTCCCAGCCCTGAGATTTTAAAAAGTGCCATATTCAAGGCTCTGTCAGGGTCAGGAGAATGAGACCCATCATTGTCACTGGTATTTGGCATATTGGGTACGCCGCGGGGAGTTTGCCAGACTCTGCCGTGTGGGCAGG